CAGACTGGATTTATCTTATTTCGTGAAGGTTTTCCCGGAGATTTTTCTATTTTGAGTGATGTGATAAATTGTGGAACAAACGTATTAAAAACGCTTTGAAACGTACCCCGTACACTTCTTACAGGAATAGTGATTGGTTATCATAATACAGCTGCTTTCACACGGTAAAACGTATGAGAAATGAGAAATTTAAATGATTGGTTTTGGAAAGTGCGTTCTTATGTAGAATTAAATTGTTCTTTCTATCGATTTTACCTTTTTTACTCAACGATATCCATTCGGAAATTCAAATAGTGTGGTAGCAGCCAAATTTCCACTAAAGCCGCAGAGATCCATAAAAGATCACGCAAGAGTGCCGGGATTTCACCTTACAGAAATGAAATATCTTCCTCATTCGATTTCATATCGAGATGTTTCTGTTGAAACACAATCAGTTAGCTTCCTGGGAGTGTGCTTACTGCGCTAATTCTCGCCACAAAGTCCATTAGTCCATTCGATTAACAAGCTGCTTCATGGCACCCTTGGGCAAAAAGTAAAGTGAAAAATGCCTCCCAACCAATAAAACAAAGGCAATCATGTTGATCCTGGGTACGAGGTCAATTAAGCGCGGTAGATTGAGCTGGAAAACTACGTTCAGTGTTCCAAAACAAATGACGAGATAAGAAACCGTGGAGGAGCTGTATGCTTTCACACGGTATCTGTGTTTACCCGTCTAATGGAAAGGATAGAAATACATTCATTTAACATGGAATTATTTGGGTGATAAGTGTTTTCCTTTATTCCGTCTTGATGGTCAGGATATTTGAAGAAAACAAAGCGTGAAATTCTTTGCAATACATGCGAACTATATTTAGTACAGAGATAACAATTATATTATATAGAACAAAACGCGTTGCCTTAAATCAAAGTGTCTTTTTACACTAATCTCTTTGTTCTGCTTTTGGTTGTCGAAGCGCGTACACAATACACATGATATTATGTCAGTTGAAGATTAGACTCACATTAGGGCAAATTCAATACAACATCACAGATACGCAAACGTTGTTGTGGCACAGAGTATAGGAATTCACCTAATCACAGGGGCTTCAACTCGGTTGCGGAACGTGCAATTTATTTCGAATTCGGTACTACTCGTGAAACACGCTTTAACACGATCTCTCGATCCGTCACGTCATCATCCATGTAATATCTCGATGCACTGGTGGATCTGGGATTCGTATAGGTCGTTGACGGTCGAGTCACGTATTGTGTCCTCACTGAGCCTTCTGGTCTGCTAACCCGTTTATACACAACTGATTCAGCGGGGGCCTCGGTCACATACACTTCTTGCGGTTTTGTGTAGGTTGGTGCAATCCTTTCAACGGTAGAAACTGGTTGTACGTAGACTGGCGATGGAGTCTTCGCGGGAATCACGCGCTCAACAACTGGAATGGTTTCGACACGTTCCACCACTGGTGTAGTATTATTGGTCCTTTCTACGTAGATCGGTGATGGTGAACGTGATTGGGTACGATAGGTCCTGGACACCACTCGATACTGTGCCGGTTCATAGAACGCTGCCGTACCCGGCCTCTCAGCTTCGTAGCGAAGTATGCTCGTTCTAGGAGGTCGAGATGCCACACTGTAACCCATCGAACGGGATCTTGATCGTGTATCGTAGTAACCGCCCGATATAACCTTACGAGCACGCCGGACTTCATCAGCATTATGGAGATAGAAACTGTGATAGATTCGTGAATCATCATAGTATCCGTCTGAGCAAACCATCAGAACTTCCGGTCTCTGGTTGAATGTGTACATCTTACGAATTGAATCGTACGGGATCTCTTGATCATATTGACCGTTATAACCATCGGAGTCGGGGAAATAAATGGAATCTTCCGTGAATTTGACTCGATCTCCACGGGATTTCTTCTCCAACTGCCGGTTCAGTACGGACAAAGCGAGACCATCGGTGAGGTAATCTGTGCCACGCACTTTTGTGCGGCCTATGTAAGTTCCTTGAAGTTTTTGAGTACTCATTTCTTGCTATTCCTTGAACAGTGAATTCCCAGATAAAGAACAAAGAGAAAGTCGGCTTAAACTCGGATTGTGAATTTAGGAGGACGATGACCAATTTTGTCGCACTCTAGCTAAGCTAAGTGCTTTTGTTGATTCGGCTCTGAGAAGTATTCATTTTGAACAGTTGGGCAGTGCTAGTGCACAGGCACACTCGCACCCACACACCCAAACACGCATACATTGGCGCACACCGCATGCGCATAGATCGGTTGAGCAGACGCGTATCAGATGATACTTGATTCGTGTGACCGCGTCTCGCCGACGCAGCTCACGAGTTCCAATCGCTTTATTGACAAGGGTCGATGCACTTCCACGGTGACGATCGCTTGAAATCTGATTGGCATTACCAATCGAATTGTGAATTCCATGATCCTGACTGACACAGACAGATTTATGGAGAGTTACCATAGAAGATGAATATGTGTATGTGTGTGTGTGTATAGGTGTGCAACTACCAACGTGCTTGCGTACGTCTGTAAGTCCTCAGCTCCCTCGCGCTCTCACTTTCATTCTCTCTATATATATAGCAGCACGTAACCATGAGTGTGCACCTAATCAGGATTCAAGAGGAGTATTTTTGTTTCGTCACTAACTGGCAACGTGTGTCAGATTGGGCGACATTAAACAAGTGATATAAATTCGATTGACAGAACAATGCTATTGCCTTCTGGTTATAGATTTCTGTCTCAGTGTCATCAGTCAAATGAGAAAGGCGGTTAACATTTTTTGGTAGTAACAACTAACTCGAATTTCTGAATATCTTCTCTGCATGAATACCGTATATTTCTGAAGAAAAATACAAATTCATTATCAACCAAATTTACGGGGGAAAAAGGGCAGGAATAACAGTCATATAATCCTGGTATTTCATGTTCTGGTCTCCAAATGAAAGGTGAATGAGAGTAGTTTCAATTATGTTTAGGCCTGTCTCTTTGCAAAATCAATTGTATGAACCTGGGGTGTAACTGATGAGAAACGCCTGCTTACAGTGGAATCGAAATGATTCACATACAGTCAATCTCATGCCATGTCGCACTCCTAGGGAATTCGAAAAAGTGGGTAAATTCTAGGAACTGGGACAAAGCATGTTAGTCAGTAGTAAATGCTATTAAGTAGTATGCAAAATAGGTTGGGAGTTTTCTGAAAAGAAAAACCGTATCGATGACAAGTATGTTAATTCCTTTACTTGTTCCCAGTATTTATAGTCATGTACTGCTTATTTATAACGAAATTTAAATATATCATCCTGTGTATCCTTTATACATCGAAGAAATTGAAATCCTTTGGGATTCCCGCAGCTTGATATTACATTGCGTTGCGCCCTTTCTCAGTTTCAGGAGCTAGTTACCTCGAAACTACTTATTTCAGGGAATTTTGTCTAACCCAGTTACCGCATATTAATTCCAGACATTTCTTCATTCCTTTGCAATGTTAGACCATCCACCGAATAGGATATATGGCGTCCACCATAATATAAATCTGTTGTAGGTCTAATAACATAATTATTAAATTATTCGATGAAAACAAGAATAAACCAGGGCGAATATAATGAGAACATGGGACGAAAAATTACATTCGAAGTGAAATATTACTGGGTATACTCAGTACATGAAATTCTTTCTCATATTGCAAACTGATTATTCGTTGTGCAATCTATTCCTGATTTTCCGGTGAAAAATATGTATCATAAACTCTGTAGATATTTACTCGTTCGTTCGATTTTGTTATTGCCAGTACGTTCCGATCGATTGAGCCAGTATCGGTAACCATAAGTGACAGATCAAGTTCAAGGTGTCTTTCACAAATTAGAAGTGCATTGCTCAGGGGCGCTTCAGACTCGGGTTATGATGACCTGTCCAGTTTCATTGGTGCTCCAGCAAGGATAAGTGCGATTATCGTTCATTCATTGACACAAGTGCTTCCGCGCGACGGCGTTTATCGATCTCTTGGATCTGACTGTTGTGTTTGGCCTAAGCGTACGAATGACACGAGCGACTCTTGCTTAAACCCCAACGACAACGCGGAGAGAGAACAGGTTTAGACAAAGTCAGCGTGTATTCTGCGATAAGTTATCGATACGTCAAAAATACAGAACTAATCGTGCATACGAGGACGGCGCAGTGACGCACCAATCAGATAGTGTCCTTGACATATCGACGGATCGATTGGACAAACGTTGGCTGACACGTTCTGTGATCATCCAATCAGGTTCAGCCTGTCTGGAGTGTTGCGAGCGTGCATGTGGCCTGACTCGGAGGCGTGCGCGATCGGACGGGTTTCTTAGGCTCCGTCTCAACACTTACTCCGTACACTCACTTACAAGTCAATCAAGATTATCGTTCACTCGATTGCATGTTAGTGCGACAGAGATCATCGGTAGACCAAATGACCGTGACTTCGGTGACCACTGCCACAAAAATGACCATATTCGAGTGTCCATTGAATTGAGGGGAAAAAGCTTTGCAGATTACGAAGATATATTTTTAGCAATCATAAATCTTCGTTTGTCTCAACCTGATCCTCTTTAGGAAATCAACAAGCGCGCTGTTTTAATCAGTTATACACTCCCGTAATCGACCCGGAATCCGAGCATTGACAAAGGTAATTATGCTCTCACAAAGCACTAGCGCCACTCCTTCTTTAGATTTCTTGGATCCAGAAACTGCTTTTTTCCTTTAAGACGTAATGTTTTTTCAGAAGCTGCTTGTATTACAAGGTTGTTTCATCTGCATTGGAACTATCACAGTCGGCGTATCAATGGATCAACTGCGGCAACCCCGCTTGAAACTCGTCCACTGCATCACGTTTTATAGTCAAACGTTTTTCACAAACCTATAAATTAATGCACATGGGTAGTTGCTTGTGTCGCACTTTGCAGTACTGAATAACACATCTGTTTGATCAAGAGCGAAACCAACTTTTGGAAGCCTTGAAGTCATGATGAGACATTCTTTGTGCTAACTGAATAACCTTCAAAAAGATAATGCTCTCCATCATGGGGAACTCGCCATGCATTTCCCTCATAGCAGTAAACAAATCCGAGGTTGACTCATTCACTGCCTTGAACTTTTCGTTGGTTTTCATGAGGCACTTTTCCTGAGAAGATCCAGCGTTCAGTAATTATTCGATAGTGGTTTGATGGGATATAACACTGTAAACATTTTTTCTTGAAATATCAGGTCATTCGGCTATGGAACTCTCAGTTGCACCTGGCTGATTCAGCATTTCCAACAAGTTCTGATCGATAGGCGATCGCTCATTTTAAAGTCACTGCCTTCGATTGTTGGCATCCGTGTGTCTTCCTCACAAAGATTATCCAGTCAGTGAACAGTGTCATGTTGGCGTTACACTATGTGAAACGTCATTGGCTGAGTGCGACATTGCAAGTTGGATGGTCAATAGCCGTCCCGAACATTGGTCAACTACCAAGTGAGTAGTAGGTATCAAGAACTGCGATATATAGAGGAGTGCGACATTGCATGATCAGAAACTATGTTATTGCGCATAAGGT